TTATGTCCAGAACCGTCTTTGTCAATTTTCTTCTGCGTGGAAGTGATGTGGTAGTATGAAAATAAAATCAGAAGTCTTTTTTTTAAAAAAAAACTCACATACTTTAGATTATTCCTGACTCTCAAACTACCCAAACTGGAAAGGACTTTTAGAGATAAAGGAGAGGCCACATGTTTTGGATTTTCAGAGGCAGGGTCACTTTCAGACTTTCTGTGCCCTTGTTCTGTATGCTATAATCCATGGAGATGGGTAATAATTCTGTATTGAAAGCATGCTTACTTAAATATGCATAAAGAAAATTGGAATAAATCCTCCATAGTATTTTTGTAATCACAAGTGTTGAACTTCATATTAATAAAGTATAGAATACTTTTTAAAAGTACTATCATTGGGTTGCAGCTTAACTTAAGAAAAATTTGCTTTTTATGCTTAATCTGTAAAATACCTGACTTCAGAGCTAAGTGAAGATCTTTCTTTACCTTATAGATCCTGAGACCACTCAGAAAAGTGTTTTTACCCAACTTATCTACTGAGAAGTTGTGACATCTTGACATCACAGGTAAGGAAAGTTTGTGAACAGGCAAATTCTATTTTAGGTTCTTTAAAAGTCTGTTTTAATTAATTCTTTTAATTGGTCATTATAAGTGTGCATTGCATTATGGTGGAAACTGAACTAATAGTATAATATGGTCATTTTAAAATTCCCCAAGAATTTAAGAAGCCTGTCTTTGAATTCCAGTTCTGTGGTCCCTCTGAGCCTAAGTTATATAATAAGAAAAAAAGCAGTAAGTATATTCACCTCATAAGGTTGTTGTGAGGGTTCAGGGAATGAACATGACTATGAAGTTATCTAATGTAGCGCTTGGTACATAGTTGCTGAATGGATGAATTTATTGCAGTACTATTTTATTGGTGCCTTACCATGTGTCTGAGTCTGTGATGAATTCCAGAAATGACAACTGTGGCTGTGAAAAAGACAGATGCGGCCCAGCTCTCTCTTGAGAGCCTCTCTCTCCTGAGTATCAGGCTTTAATGTAAAAAAGATGGATTGTGAGTAGTTTTTAAACTTCCAATAAAAATGTCTAACATGGATAAATATAAGTTCTCAAATTTGTATTGTATACTATAGAGTTTGTGAAATTTAACACATTGAATAACTTTTTTGAAAAGGCAACACATTTAAGGCAGTGAAACTTTTGCTACTTTACTGGTGGATATATGTTATTAGGTATTGTTTGTCAAAACCCATAGACTGTACAACATCAAGAGTAAACCTAATGTAAACTATGGACTTTGGGTGATTATGATGTGTTAATGTAAGTTGTAACAAACGTACCAGTCTGGTGCGGGATGTCGATAATGGAAGAGACTTGTGTATGAGGGCAAAAAGCTACATAAGAACCGAACTCTACTTTGTTCAATTTTGCTATGAACCTAAAGCTGTTCTAAAAAGTAAAAGTCCTTAAAAAGATTAAAGGGGAAAAAAAGAGAGGCAAAAAAGCAACATACAATTGTTTTCATTGCCTTGTCTCTAAAAATTGTTAATAGGTTTGTATTTGGGGATTAACCTTGTGGTACATACCCCCTTTATGTATTATAATTTTTCTACAGAGGTTCAGATCATAAATATTGTGAGCCAAGAGGCAAAATCAAGAATATTATATTATTGATATCAAGGATATAACATTGTTTACACAAAATTTTACTGGTGAAATCTAAAATATAATAATCGAGTACATTTTTTAAAGTAATTCAGGTCTACTGATGAAAAGAATGGAATCTGTGGGAGATAATATTTCACTTAACTGGGGTTCAAAGTTAATGTGCCTTATCATCAAAATTGACTGCAAATGTTTGTTTATCTATACTCAGTCCAGATTTGGCCCAAAGGCCAGAGTTTGCCAACCCCTGCTCGATTGGTGAAATATGTAAAATTATTAGCCAAATTGGAAAGGGGGTAAACTCAAATGATATGTGCATAAAGATATGTTTATTAGCATATGTGTATTTCTATATCAAGGCCAAATGTAATTTGTGCTATTTAAACATCAATGTTAAAGCAGCTTGATGGAAAAATGGTAACTATAAGGTGAAGGACATGTTAATTAACCCTACTGTGCTAATTGTTGCACAATGTATGCATATATCAAATTACCAAGTTCTACCCCTTAAATTTACACAATATTATATGCCAGTTATATCTCAATAAAGCTGGAAAATGGAAAGAAACAGTAAGGTAAATTAAAAAATAAATGGATCATTGGAGAAGTTATATTTTCCATGAATCTTTGGTCATGTAATTTTGACTTTTAGTTTTGGCACATATAACTAAGAATTTTTATTATGTATCTCTTTCCTGCCATTGCCAGGCACCTAGGCTCTTCCTTATACTCTGAATGTAATGTAAAATTTTTTTCTTGAAAATGAGACTTGGAAATATTTTTAGTAACTTTTGGTAAACGATCAACTTCTCATTTATTTGTGTTCTTTAGCTTGGCTACAGCTACTAATATGGGAATCTATTCAGATGGTATTGGTTTTCTGTTTAAATTATTGCAAAGATGAGAATTTCACAAGAGTATTTATAATATATTTATCACAAAGTTTTTAAAGTCTGAAACCTTTTGGGTTTCTCTTTAGGACTTCTTTCAATAGATGAGATGGCTACCACTCAGATTTCCAAAGATGAGCTTGACGAACTCAAAGAGGCCTTTGCAAAAGTTGGTAAGTATTTTTTATAGTATAACTGTAGTAAAGCAGTCTTTATTGGCCCTAATTAAAGTTATTTCTCTAAAAAATTATATGAGTGGTTAATTTTAAACCTTTTGGCAAGATAGCTAAAATCGATGGGATAAAGTTTTAAAAGCCACACTTATACTTTATTATTTGTAATTATATCTACTATCTATCTAACATGGCCAAAGGTTTTTGGTTCCGGATCCCAGTCCTTAATTAGGTCTGTCATGGCTCCTGAAATTTTAAACAAATTTTGTGGTGTTATCATATTTGGTGAATCATTTTTCTGAGAGGATTTGGAGCTTTTACTATATTCTCAAAATGTTAAAGGATCATCAGATGCTGCTTTCCCTTTCCCTAATTAGCTTGGCTTTCTTGCTTTTTTCATGTATCTTCAGTCCCTTTGCATAATGCAGACTGTTCTACCTTCACATTAAATTATAGCATCAATATAGGATGGGAAGGCATAATATGCCATCTGGTTTATCATACTGTAACATCATATAGCAAGTCTTAGAATTTTGCAGCTATGGAAGCAGTTTATATATAGTATTTCCATGCAAATCTCAGTGCTCAGGTCAAGTCAGTAGACATATTGAGAAAATGGTAAGAGCTGACTATTGATGAGTCAACGCGTGCTTAGAGAAGTAAACTATTACTACTTGGTATCTCCTTGATTAAAGTCTAAAAAGTTAGATTATAGTGATTTGTTGTTTAAAACAGAATCTAGTCTTGACCTATGTAGGAAATCCCATTAGTGAAAAGTACATTTTGATCAATATTTTCTATGAAGGCATTTATTAGTAACTAGAGGCCCGGTGCACGAAATTCATGCACGGGTAGGGTAGGGTTTCTAGGCCTTCCAGCTACCAGCTGTGGCCTTCCTTTGTTACACGCTGCCCCGTGGTGGTATGTGCACGTCATAGCAAGCGGTCAAACTCCCAGTCAGTCAAACTTCGAGGGCACAATTTGCATATTAGCCTTTTATTATATAGGATGCCATACCTTGGGAAGAATAATGACCACCAGCCAGAGTGACTATTCATAATCCCATCAGAATTCTAAATAGAAAAGATTAAATTGTCCAGAATCTAACATGATTTGTGTGTGTGTCTGTGTATATATGAAAACAAAATCAGCCATAGATACCATTTACTGTAAGACTACTACCCAATCTGATATTAGACTGGTTATGAAAACCCAGCAGGTAAATTCTTGGCTGCAAGATTTTTAAAATCTCATTATTCTATAGAAATCACCTTATAATTGTTTTAGGATTATATTTCATTTGAACTTTGTTTTCTTCAAATTCATCTTTCAGTGTTGGGGACAGCCTAATTTGTTTCTTTATGAATAGAATTTTGGGGTAGGGACCATGACTTATTACTGCTATTTTTTATTCTTCAAGGCCTTACTGCCTCAAATAAATGTTTACTGTTGAATACAGACCTTTTTCTCATGTACAGAAATATTTCTGTGAACAATATTTTTTAAAACTTAAAGATAAATTAAATATGTTTACCTGATGGAACTGGAATACTTTTTATCAGTAAAAGAGCTTAATTGTTCCTTAAAAGCTTAATGATATAAAGAGGGTTGACCAATTACCTCCCTGGAGAAAACAGGATTAATTGTACTAAGTGAGGGATCAATTAGAGCTTGGACTACAAGAAAGGCTCATTGTTGGAACTGCTGTCTTAATGTTATATTTTGGAGGACTTAGGGTTGGCAAACAGCTTCCCAAAGGCAAGAGATTGGACCATATGGCTTATTGGAGTCCCTACCAGGCATATACATATTCCTACTGTATGCAGACTCTTATTACTCTTACTAGAGGCCTGGTACACGAAATTCATGAGGGGGGGGGGAGGTCCCTCAGCCCGACCTGCACCCTCTCCATTCTGGGACCCCTCAGGGATGTCCTACTGCCAGTTCAGGGATTGGGCCTAAACCAGCAGTCGGACATCCCTCTCACAATCTGGGACCGCTGGCTCCTAACCCCTCACTTACCTGCCGGCCTGATCGCCCTAACTGCTCTCCCCTACCCGCCTGATTGCCCCTAACTGCCTCTGCCTCAGCCCCGCCACCATGGCTTTGTCCAGATGGACGTCTGGAAGATGTCTGGTATAATTAGCATATTACCCTTTTATTAGTATAGATATGCTGTACTGAGGAATTCTGGAGTCCAAAATTTCTTCCTGTTTTGCATTTTATTATTTTTGTATTCCCCCACTCAGTATCTAGTTCAGTGTTACACACATGTTAGGTTCTCAATAAATATTTAATTGATTGAATCCCAAGGAATTGTATATAGTCTTTTCATGTAGTAGGACTTTGTCAATATCAACTATAAACCCAAAGGGGTCCTTTATTATGAAGATTTTCATCATGGTGGAATTTATTACTAAAGGTTTTGGCCACTACATTATAGCACATAAAATTTATAAATTTTTTCAGCATAATAAAGGCTTATGTGTAGTCTTTGAGAAAAGTGTTTAAAGACCCAGCTGAATCTTTTGATTTTCTTTTAAAATCTTTGTAGTTTTTAGTTGTTGTTAGTTATGGAGCCCTCAGCAATTGTCAAAGTTGTTATGGAAATCCTTTTATTTTTTTCTTCATTCAGGAAAACTTGATTTTTTTAATATTTATTCTTTTAAGCACTTTATTTTTTATTTTTTTTAAATATATATTTTATTGATTTCTTACAGAGAGGAAGGGAGAGGGATAGAGAGTTAGAAACATCGATGAGAGAGAAACATCGAACAGCTGCCTCCTGCACGCTCCCTACTGGGTATGTGCCCGCAACCAAGGTACATGCCCTTGACCGGAATCGAACCCGGGACCCTTGAGTCTGCAGGCCGACGCTCTATCCATTGAGCCAAACCGGCCAGGGCAAAGCACTTTATTTTTTAAACTTATTTTATTGTTGAGAGTATTAGAGATTTCCCCCCATTTTCTCCCCTTTAGAGGAAGGGAGAGGGAGAGAGAGAAACATCAGTGTGAGAGAGAAACATCCTTTGGTTGCCACCCATAAGCACCTGGGCATGTGCCCCGACCTGGTTTGCTTGGTGCCCGGGACGATGCTCAACCAACTGAGCCACTCTGGCCAAGGAAACCTGATGTCAAAAACAAGCTCCATAACTTATTTTCCTGTCAAGGACAATTATTATTTTGGGAGTAGTGAGGACTACTTGATCTCAGTTCATTTGTGACAAAATATGGAAATCATTATACGATTTTTCCCATCTATTAACAAAAATAGCTTTGATTTTCCTCCTTAGAAATTCAGCAAAATCATAGTGTGTGAGGAAAATCTCTGCAATTATTACCACTAGTCATGTGTTTTGTTCAATCAACTAATAGTGCTTTGAAACTCTTTACTAGCAATAAATAGAGTATTAGGGTTTAAAGTTCTCCTTTCACTCACTTTCTGCACCTGCTTAGTGTTAAGCTCCCAGCAGTATATTTTCATTCCATTATTTAAATTTTCTCAACATTTGTTTCCAGTATTTCCCACTGGGATGGCAGAAGCGTTGGCTCTCACTTTGTTCCTACTTCATGATGTTTCTGTTTGAATTGAAATGCTGCAATGCTGCATAAGTTCTTCCTAAAGAAGAAGAATTTAAAACTTTCAGAACACTTAGGAAGTTAATATTTACCAACTAGAATGTCTTTTACATTCTGACTTTGCTAGATCATTTGGATGATTACTTGTAAGAAAGATCAATTTATGGAATGTAAGTCTTTTCAGATTGGCCTTTAATCCTGCAAACACTTACATCTGACTTTTTCTCTCCTAAGCAATCACTAGCTACTATGCTTTAAAAAAATGAATTCAGCAGTTTTGAAATAAAAGAATGGGGTTTCTTAAATGACTAGGAATAGTATGGGTATATTCCTTTGAGGTTGCCCACCAAACTAAGCCAAAAAATGTTGGTTATGGTGGTTGTAGCTATAGCAGATTTTCTCATCTCAGGAAGTTGAGTTGTTTCAAGTTACTTGATATTCTCTATATATAAAAACCACATCAGGGTGATGCCACAAAAAAAACATGGTGGTTTAGTTTGATTTACTTTTAGTATTCAATAAAACTACATCAGTGCATATTTGTTTAATTATGACTTAAAAAATAAAACTATAGCCCAACCAAAAAAATAAACTGGCCAGTTCTCTTTCACTGTGCCATCTGGTTAATTACAGATGGAATATTAGAAATGGAGGTCTTAGAATAGTTTGAAAAACCATGTTTTGACGGTATGGAAGATAGAATAAAAGTGTGTAAAAAAAAGTCATCAAAGACAATAAAAATTCTGCTAAAAAGGTGTGTGAGTATGCGGGGGGGGAGCAGGAACACATGTGTGTGAAAATGCGCTCATGAGAGCATGTGTGTAGCTGTGAACTAGTATGTGTTTTTAAGGTGGGAGAATGGCAGCAAGTGGAAAATGATGGTCCTGCTAGAAATTTTGAGTTGGAAAAGAATTGCTAGACAATACTTTTAATTGTCTGTCTCAGCTCTATAACCTTGTTCAGCCTTCAGCTGTACTTGACCTCCACCTTAGGGGATCCACTATTAGTGTGAACTCTTGGGTAGGAACCTTCATTCTACCTTTAGCTGGGACGCATTAAACTGCCTCATATACTTGCTAAACTGAGCTACCTCAAAAGGTATAAGCTGGGAAAGGCAAAATTCATGTTCAGCTAAGCATCTGGAGATGTTTAGCAGCTGCCTTTTCTAAAGTTTTAATGCCAATGAAAGCTTGACTTTACTGCTTAGATTTTAGGGTGGAATATAATCTAAATTCTTCTGCACAAGTCTTTTGGCTGAGTATTTTAAATGAACATATTGTGTGCTTTCATGGACATTTAAGGTCACGTGTGTATGTGTGTAAATCCATTATTGTTACATTCCTTTTGTCTTTTTTAGTGCAAAAACTTTGTGGAATATATTGGTTAAACTAAATGGAACTTTTAAACCAAGCTTTTCGGAA